TCATCTTTGAATTTTCTAATAGTAATTTTAATTAAAATTTATACAGTCAGTGATAAAATAACTTATACAAAGTAAAAGAAAAAGAATAAATAGAAGATGAAAGTGCAGGGGAAAAAGAGAAAAAAATAAAAATAAGAATATAGTAAGGAAAAAGAAAAGAAACATATAAAGACTTTCCTCTTCTCAACAAATATAAGCAATTTTAATAAACTTATCAGTTTTACTTAAATAACTTAATAGTAAAACTTATCAGTTTTACTTAAAACACAACAGATGACTCCATCTTCTCATATCCCTTCTCACGCAATCTATCTCTATCAGTAGTAAATCTTAAAATTAACTTCTGGGTCTGTTGTTCCAAAATATCCTTCAACATGTTCAATGTTAAAATATTTTATTCCATTCTGAAAAAGCAAATCAAAAACTAAAGCGTTCTCCTCATTAATTCTAATTTTTACTTTGTTCTACTTACTCGCACTGCCCGAGCTTCAAAGTCTCATCCTATAATTTAAAAATCAAAAGAATTCAAAGCAAAAGCATTTTCTCACAGGAACAATTCTTACAATTAATTCCAAATTCTTATTTCAAGTCCATATGGATCTTGTTAATCTGTATTTGTATTTCTTCCATTCATAAGTTTCCAAGTCATAATCATCCTTTTGCTGTTCATTCATTTTTTTAAAAAAAAAGTATTTCTTAAACTTGTATTAAAAAGTTCTTTCACTAAGAGGATTTGAAATCTGAGCTAATATGGTTGGACTTAGAAGGAAGGACTCTGGGTTTGCAGATCTGGATTAATGATATTCTAATTCTTTTAGTAGTAATATATGCCCCAAATGGAGACCAAAAAGAGTTCTTTAAACACCTATATAGAAAATTGGTTGAATTGCAAAAAAGAAATATCTGCATAGCAGGGGACTTCAACTCCATTGCTGATTTCCAAAATGATCACAGTAATGCCGGGAAGAATAAAAAGGGGAAGAGAGAGCTCCCCAAGATTTGTAGGGAAATGATGAAAGAGCTAAATCTGACAGATATATGGAGAAGATTACATCCTGAAAAAAGACAATTTACATTTTATTCAAATCCCCACCAAACATGGACACGGATCGATATGGCATGGATGAGTGGGGAAATAGCAAACGAGACAAAAGAAGTGGAAATTTTGCCTAATGAATGGCTGACCATAATCCAATACAGGTAATATGGAAGGGCAGGGCAAAACCAAAGAAAAGCTGGACCCTAAACACTCAATTAATAAGAGAGAAAGAATACATTAATAAATTAAAGGAGGAATTGAATTTTTTTATAAAAGAAAATGATAATGGAGAAACCACGAAACAAAATGTTTGGGATACGATGAAGGCAGTTATAAGAGGCATAACAATCTCTTATAACGCCGAGAGAAACAAGGAAAAACATTCCCAACAAAACAAATTACAACAAAGAATTAAGGACCTAGAAACCCTTCTACAAAATAACCCCAAAGAAACCAAACTGCAAAATCAGATAAGTATAGCCAAACACAAACTGAATTTAATTGATCAAGAGAAAATGACTATGAATTTGAACTTAACCAGACAAACCTATTTTGAACATGCCAACAAGCCAGAAAGAGGGCTATCTTATAAATTAAAAGAAAAGAAAGAGAAGAGATTGATATACCAGTTAATAGATAGCAAAGGAGATACATACCAGGAAATAGAATTGAAAAAAGAAATTATTCATAAATACTTTGAAGATTTATACAAAAGAGAGGATGTCAGTGAAGATAGAATAAGGAATTATCTAGATGAAGTAAAAGATAAGGCAATTGGGGAAGAAATGGCTGAACTATTAAATAAAGACATTACTGAATCGGAACTGAAATCAGCAATAGAGAGCCAGAAAAATAACAAAACCCTGGGCCCAGACGGGATCCCAGGGGAGCTATACAAGGCAATAGCAGATCAAATCGGTCCACTTATGGTTGAAGTCTTCAATGATGTTTTACTGGCAGCCAGGATGCCGGACTCATGGAAGGGGGCGTTGATCTCGCTGATCCCGAAGGAAGATACAGATCTCAGATATATAAATAATTACAGGCCGATTTCACTTTTAAATACTGATTACAAAATATTCACACTTATAGCAAACAGATTAAAAAGGATCTTAAACTTGTATATACATGTAGACCAAAACAGATTTCTCCCAACTAGGCAAATAAAGAACAATTTAAGAATAGTATTAGACATACTAGAATTTTACGAAGCCCACCCCGAGAAACAAGTAGCACTTATGTTCCAAGACGCAGAGGCTTTCGACAATCTAAATTGGCAATTTTTAATTCAAAAAATTTATAATTTGAATTTGCGTACCAAATTTGAAAATATTATAACAACTATATACGATACACAACAAGCTAATATAATAGTGAATGGAGAATGCACTCGCCCAATAAAAATAGAAAAAGGAGTGAGACAGGGTTGTCCACTCTCTCCCCTGCTCTTTATATTAGCATTAGAGACATTATTAACACGAATTAGGCGGAACTCAGATATAAAGGGATTAACAGTGAAGAAAGAGGAATATAAATTGCAAGCATTTGCGGACGACATGATTTTCTTCATTGAAGAACCAAAAGACAGGGGACCAAAATTGATGAGTGAATTAGAGAAATTTGGAGCAGTAGCTGGACTTAAAATAAAATAAAAAAACCCAAATTAATGACCAAACAAAAAAACAGGAAATAGAACTAGAAGAAATAATGCATATACAAGTGACAAAGAAAGTGAAATACTTAGGAATTTGGCTAACACCACACTGTAAGACACTTAAAGAAAACAATTATGATAAACTGATACACCAGGTAAAGAAAGATTTAGAATCGTGGGGGAAACTTCAAATCTCACTACTAGGCTGAATTGCTACTATTAAAATGAATATTCTCCCCAAATTCTTGTACCTATTCCAAACGATCCCAATTAAATTAAATAAAAAGTTTTTTGAAGAACTCAATAGAATAACTCTGAAATTTATTTGGCAAGGGAAAAAACCCAGAATAAATGTAAAAGCAATGCAGGATATGAAGAGCAGGGGTGGGTTAGCATTTCCAAACTGGGAGTTATAGTATATGGCCACCTCGTTAGTTTGGTTGAAGGATTGGGTGAATTTAACCAATAAAAGAATACTATTTCTAGAAGGCCACGATTTACAAAGGGGGTGACACGCCTTTCTATGGGATGTAGGGAAAACCAATCAAAAATATTTCCATAGACATTTAATTAGAGATGCACTTTTAACAATTTGGAGGAAAATAAGGAAAAAACATTATACAAAAGTACCAGTATGGATTTCAACAATGGAGGCAATGATTCACCCAAACAATTTGGAGCTTACCAAAATGATCAAATACAAAGACTTATTAGACCCACAAGGAAATTTGAAACCGAGGCCGGATCTTCAGGACATAAAGTTGATCAATGGGTTTACCTCCAGATTCAAAACAGATACAAACAAGACAAAAAAGAATTCGGAATTAATAACAAACTGCAACAATTAGATAAAATTTTATTAGGATCCAATAAAAAAAAACACAAAATTTTATAACTACTTATTAGAAACAGAACTAGAAGAAGAAATTGTAAAAGGAAATATGATTGCTTGGAGTAAGAACGTAGGGCGCAGCATCACATTAGCGGAATGGGAGAAAGTTTGGGGCAGAAACAATAAGATTACCAAATCGGCAGCATACAAGGAAAATCTTTATAAAATGTTTTATAGATGGCATCTTCCCGCTTCAAGGTTAGCGAAGATGCACCCCAACATGAGTCTGCATTGCTGGAAATGTAGGAAAAAAGAAGGAACCTTTTTCCATATGTGGTGGTCTTGTGCAGAAACCCAAAAGTATTGGAAGAAAATTAAAACTTGGTTGGAAGAAATCACTAAAGAGCAGATCAAATACAAACCAGAGTCCTTCCTACTAGGGATTTTTGATAAGCAAATCTCCAAAAAAGCCAAATACATAACAATACACATTTTAACAGCGGCCAGATTAGCCTTCGCTCAACAGTGGAAACATCATCAAATTCCATCAGAAGAAATGATTATTGAAAAAATCTCAAAATGTGCAGAAATGGATAAATTGACTTTGGCGCTAAAAAACAAAGACACTTCACTATACTACGATAGCTAGAATTGTTGGTATAATTGGATTGATCAAAGATAAATTATATATCATAAGACATGAAAGAAAAGTATCAACCTATAATAACAAGGTAGCATTATAAGTTAAAAACAGGTGTGGTTATATGACACAAGTTAAGGTTATGAAAACAAAAGAAGATCTTGCAAACTGTTAAAATAAGAATACTTTTTACTTTGTAACCTCTTTCTTTCTTTCTTCCCCTTTTCTTTTTCTTTCTTTTCTCAAAATTCTTTCCCTCTCCTTCTCTCCTCTTTTCTTTCTTTTTTTTATTTTGCTTATTTGTGTATGTATTGTGATTGGTTTTAATTGTAAAAATTAATAAAATATATATATATATATATAAAAAAAAGTTCTTTCACTATAGAAGGAGACTCATCTGGTGTTTTTAGACTTGTTGATCCCAACATTCCCAACACCTAAAAGCAGTTAACAAACAACTTTTAAATATGTTTTTAAAAGGAAGTATGTAAACACAGCGTTCTAACAGTTTGAGCAAGATGGCTATTCTCTTTTCTCCCATAGTCATAAACTTGCAAGAGAACACTGTTTTGTAGTCCTCTTGTAAGGAGCAATTGTCAGATGTTCTTATGGGCAATCTAAAGTCCTCTCCTTTTTTGGAGAGGCAAAACAGCCTACAGACAGCCATCAACTCAGCAGCTTTTCAATCTGCCATGGTCAGCAGTTCCATTTTTAGCAGAGCTGTCTTCCATTTGCCATTTTTCCCAGAGGTCTCAATTGTCAAATCTTACTGAATTTGAAATTGAGCCATAGTGTTCGGACTTTCCAAAATCTTTCATGCAAATAATTTTCAGCATTTTTACTCCCAAATCTCATCGATGTAATATATTAGCTAAAAGATAGCTGATGGAAATGAGAGATTGAGTTGCTCTTTGCCTCCTCTCTTTCAGCTGTGGACGCTCTGGAATGTTATCATTGTCCCAATGGAGGTCCCAAATGTATTCCCCAAACCTGCTCTAGTTACCAGGACCGATGTATGACCGTATGGTTTACAGGAGTTGGTAAGTATAATAGTATGGAAAAAATAATTATATTTAGCTCTTTAATTTGGGGGTGGGGTGTGAGGACTTCAATGAGCTTTGAAGAAAGGCTATGGAGAATCATCTGACGATGGAATTAGTTGAGATAAAACACACAAACTTTACAAAAGATGCAGCTCTACGAAGGATGCTATTTTCCACTTGAGTTGCTAAGTGCCTCTTTCAAAGGCTGTGTACAGCCTTATTCGCTAATAGATGGGTGGAATACATGTAGCCTTCGACTCAGGAGGCCCAGGAGTCCAGGGGTGGATTTTATTTCTACTTCTCTCTGAACCCAGGCAATAGGTTGTTAACATCCTTATTGATCCAGCCATAGTGGCAATAAACAA